ATGTTGCTTAGAATGATTGGGGAGATTAAGGTGTCTCGCGACCGGTTTAGATGTGTTTTTGTCGTCTTTCTCAACGTCACGAAGGTGTTCTCGGAATCGGTCGCCTAGTCGTTTTCCAGTTTCGCCGATGTATAACTTTTTGCAAAGAGTGCAAGTTATGCAGTAGATGACATTGGCTGAGGTACAGGTGAAATGAGGACAGGATATGTTTTGCATCGTGCGCGTGCGCATATAAAAGTTCCGGGTTGATCACTTGTTTGGAATGCACTTCTGACTAAAAAGTACCTATGTTTTTGTCGCGTTTGAATGAAATTAATGGAGGTTGCGGAAAGATTCTACCAGTATCGGGATCATTTTGAAGTAATTTAAAGTTTGCAAAACATGTCCTTTCATTTGCAACGCTGAGAAAATATCGGAACCCAACCGATCCGTCAAGATCACTGATCATTTCACCTGTACCTCAGCCAATGTCATCTACTGCATAACTTGCACTCTTTGCAAAAAGTTATACATCAGCGAAACCGGTTGGCAAATTACTTTGTTACGTTTGTAGAAGCGAAACACATTGGATGCTTATTGTCTTAGAATGAGTGGTTGTGAAGAGTTGAAAATTAAGACCCTGGCCCCACAGAATACAAAATTAAATGCTTAAAATTGATTCTCCTCACTTATAAACTGCAGTTTTCACCAAGAGATTTTCCCCAGACACCTGGTGAGAGGGCATTATAACTCCCACATAATTCAAATTAGAAGAGAAACAATATCCGTCATGCGTATTACAGAAGAATTTGCATAAACAGTTGCCACGGAGACGTTTTTCTCTGCTCTGAAGGACAGTAACAGATTGAAACTCAACTAAACAATCAATCAGCATAAAACAGGATTTCCAATTTTCACCGTTAACTGACGGCTACAAAATGGATCGGTATATGAAAGGGTCTCCAATTATCAGCAGTCTTACAGCTACCTATCTATCCACTGCTGCATGGATTACAGACAGAATGTTATTACAGTTTAATTTGTAAGTTAGTTATATTATAGTACTTCTATTGCATCTTTGGCATTAGCATGTACTCATTGCGAGAATACTAAAAACAATGTTGTTAAATTGGTTGTTAATTAATTAGTTGGTCCTCCTCTTTACAGCGATTCCTGTCAAGAAAGCTTGCTCCTATATTCGCGACAAACTCAATAATGACAGTACATTATTCTCCAGAACTAATCTCAATACTGATGACATAATCACCCTTTTGTAATTTGTTCTTTCCAACAACTACTGTGTTTACAAGGATTGTTAAAAAAAATCCACGACACTCTGTCATCAACAAGAAAGACGCCCTCTGACACTTTGAATTCATTGACCCTAAGATCTCTTTCTCGATTGAAACCGAAAGTAATGGATAAAACTAATTTTTGGACACCTTGGTCACCCGGATCAGTGGAATAATTTCTATTCAAGTTTATAGAAAACCAGCAAATAATGATTGGTTCCCAATGTAGCGACTAGAACTTTCTTTGCTTTTGGGTGTCACGTTTCTCCGTGACCCCTGGGAATTATGCAACCCACTCTGTAGTACTTAAGCGTTCTTCTTTATGCGTAGTTTTGTGTTTCATTTTCTCTAGTGCTTGTTAGCACTGAAAGTTCGATCTGCTGGTTTCTACCGCGTTTTTCTTAGCTACTTCACCGTTGTGAGCCCTGAAGTACAAATTATAGAATTCGAGTCGCCACAGTTTTGTAAGTTTATTTGCTCCGTTGTCAGCCGGTTTTCTTTAGTCGTTATATTTTGTACTTAAATATTTTGTCTGGTTTATTTTTTTCAGCTGAATCACACACACCCAAGATCACTTTTGTTTCTCTCGTGCCTACGCCCAGCATGATTAAACTCGTGCATTCAAGCTGTGACGTCTGTAGCGCTTACTAGACGTACACCCACCATGACAAGAAGCACAAAACCGGCACAGCTTATCGGGCGCCCAACCTCCCAAGTACAACTGAAGCAAAATATAATGAACTTAAACATGTTACTCGCGCTTTGGAAGAAAATGGTTACCCCCTGTCGATCATTACCAACATCTTAAAGAATAAACCTGCCGTGGAAATAATTTCCTTTCCTCAGAAGAATTAGTGTGCATGTTTTTCAAGCGGGCTGAGCCATCTGTGACCAGTTTTGATTTCTCTTGTCTGCCCTACGTCAATGGTGTCACTGAACTACTTCAAAGATTACTTCGTATTAGTGGAATTCGAGTTGTTGCCAGACCTTACAAAACTTTATGGCAAGAATTCCCTTCGCCGAAATTCAGGCCACCCAGCCACCCCCAAACAAACGTTGTTTATAAGATTCCCTGCGGTGACTGTACTTAAAGAAACGAGCAGATGCCTCCAAACGCGAAGAAAAAGAACATGTCATCATAGAATTGCAACTCAGGCTCTATCATTTCGAACCATGCATGGTTGAAAGACCATCAAATCGACTTCGACAACTCTAAAGTAAGTGACAAAGGCGATTATCGTGTGCGACAAACTCTCAAGTCATGGCACACCGCCATGACTCATGAGGCGGGCAATAATTCTAGACTAATAACGATAAAATTAGTCTCTTTTCATTATCCAGCTGTCACAACTTTAATTATACATTTTTATTCTGTACTTTTTCACACTTTTTACTCTATATATCCATCCATTCGCGTCTTTCTGATCATTCGTGTTGGCAGCCGAAAGCTTATTGACCTTATTTTAATCTAACTTTTCAACCAGATAACGTTTTAATTGTTTTAATAAATTTTTTCTTGTTATTCACGCCGGGTTTATTGACGTCTATTTGGTTTAAGACTGCTGGTAGCCGGTCTTTTCTCCTTGGGTCAGACGAGTGATTGTTCGTGAACATGAACGCATTGATGATGTGGACTGCCAGCGGACTAATTTAGATTACAATCTTGTCAATCTTGTAGCTGCGGTCAACAACAGTCTTTGAGGGCATATCTGCATTAAATTAGTCTTCAGATTGAAGATCAAATCTATTTACTGTATATAACTATGAAACGTTTGTTGATTTTCCAGTTGTTCTTGTTTTTCGCAAAATCAATGCAGTTTTGTATGTTTCAGTTCATAAAACAAAATATTGGGGTCACTGGTCGTTTGAATGTCTCCATTTCAATAAAAAGTGAAAACGTCAGTCACTAGATTCAAATCCTAACTTCCGTGATTTGAAACATCAACGGTTGGCAACCTTTTAATGCCGGCAAAATGCGCCAAAATGGACAAATTGAATTATCAACCCATCCAGGCCGAGCTGATACAAAATTATAACACCACTACAACGCTCTGCAAACTAAATAAAATGATACTCTTGTTCCGATACGAAACTTTGCGTGCTTGAATTGATAACTGTATTCTCTGCTGAAAGTATTACATATAGGGAAGACAGAAACCTTCACCTTTCGTTTTCATCGACACCGTTAACTGATAAGCATTGCATCAAACTCGTTGTTATAGTGAAAAACGTGCAAAGCTTTGAGACAATAGATACCTTGTTCATCAGAAGGGGTCCGATAACAAGACGGGATTTACTTTCTTTAAACCTTTGTTTCAATATTTCTTCTTTCATCACTTACCACTGACAACATCAAAGTTCTCTTTCACACGAGCGTGACGAGAAGCTTTCTTTTCTTTCAGGGCATCTTTGATTTGTTGAATTTCGATAGTGAATTTTGAATCCATCATCTTCGTGTCATCGACGACTGTCTCCATTCTTATGAACAGTGCCATCGTCAACAGAATTGCGCTAACAGATAAAATCGAGGAAGCCTTGTGAAGATTCGCGCTACGTTTCTCTATTAACACTATTTTCGCCTCTTTAGCGCGGCTATCCATAGCTTTTTGATGTTGAATTGTGAAGTGGGATATGAAGCAATCGAATTTCTCTTAACACTCGCGAAAACTATACGTGATCTTGACAGCGGGTCCAGACTGGCAAGTAAATAACGAATATCTGCAGTATTACATTGCGGAAAAATGTCAATCAGGAAAGGATTGAGTTATCAGGACTTCTGAGTGAAGTTATCAGGTGTTGCGAACTAAAATTAAGCGTTTCAATCGACAGATCCCTTTAGGCTCTAGGGGGCATTATGTGTAATCAGGTCAAGAATGTAAAGAAACAAGGCGGCAAAAGATACGTTTTTCTTCATATTTCCCCTTTGAGTTTATTTTTCGAGAAGAAACTTTTGCTGTAGATAGAGAAACCCCTTTTTCTAGGTTTACAAGCGTTTTTGAGTCGATTGAGCAAAGCACTACCCTACTTCTCAGAGTATCGGAGATGTTATTTTTGTGGCTTGAGTGGCTAAGACTTAATCAAATTATTCGGTTTTAACTGTAAAAAAATTCCTACGCCCTCAACAATCACTCGATCGGCTCAAAAACGCTGGTACAACTAGAAAAGGGGTTTCTCCATCTACAGTATATGTTTTGTCTCCAAATGTGAAATCAGAACGGAAAGATAAAGAAAAACGTATGTTTTACAGCTTTGCTTCTTTGTAAATTTGCACGGATCACCCATAATGCCCCTTAGAGCATGAGAAACAGTAAAACTTAAAGATACCTTAAATGGCAAAATAGAAAATTAATTAGATCTGAAAGAAATAAAACAAAACAAAGCAAAGCGGTGGAAGAATACTATTGTTGGATNAAACCTTTGTTTCAATATTTCTTCTTTCATCACTTACCACTGACAACATCAAAGTTCTCTTTCACACGAGTTTGATGAGAAGCTTTGTCTTCTCTCAGAGCATCTTTGATTTGTTGAATTTCCATAGTGAATTTTGAATCCATCATCTTGGTATTATTAACCACTGTCTCCATTCTTATGAACAGTGCGAACGTCAACAGAATTGCGCTAACAGATAAAAACGAGGAAGCCTTGTGAAGATTCCCGCTAAGTTTCTCTATTAACATTATTTTCGCCTCTTTAGCGTAGCCATCCATAGCTTTTTGATGTTGAATTGTGAAGTGGAATGTGAAGCAATCGAATTTCGCTGAAAACTCTAGGTGATCTGAACAGAGGTCACGTCTGTTCTGGCAAGTAAATAATGAATATCTGCAGTATTACATTACGGGAAAAAATGTCAATCAAGAAAGGGTCGGGTTAACAGGAGTTCTAGCCTGCTGAACAGGCGGATTAGCGGAGCACACCGCGAAGCGTGATACACGAGCGCGGAACCACGAGCGCGAGGCACGAGTCGAAAAATACAGGCGGATTTTTTTCGACTCGCGCTTTGCTCAAGTGGTCCCGCTCTGCGCTCGTGTATCGCGTTTCGCCGTGCCCCGTTAATCCGCCTGTTCTGCAGGCTACAGGATTTCCGAGTCAACTTATCGGGTGCTGGGAACAAGTGATCGGCATACAATGACATTCAACAACCAAAATTGTCAACCAGTTTGACTGCTTTCGTACTAATAGTGCTCGGTTTTATAAGGCAATTTGAGGAAATTGGTTTATTGAAACATAACTTATAATCAATGTATGGACTGATAACATCAAAATCGTCATTTAGTTCAACAACAATGTCGGTGGGTGCTTAAACGCGGTAACTAGAAAAAAGGGATAGAACATAAATAGACAAAAAATGATGTAAACATTTCTTCCAGCCCAGTAGAAAGTATATCACGTGTCTTCTTATCATTAAGATCCATAAGACTGCAATCGTCGCATTAGAAGTCAACAACTGCCTGAGTAATAAAAGGGAACTGGAAATCTGAAAATAAAAAAAAGATTTTGAATCCCATTCAGTCAGCTTAACAGCATCATGCAGTTCGGAGTGTGAAAAGCATCATGTCGGTGATCAGCTTCATATCTGTAGCTTTTCAAAACATTATGTCGGTTGGACCAAAATGGAATTGTAATGGCATGATAACTATACCAAGTTAATAACTTTGGTTCTGCCTGACTTTAAAGAAACGAATCCACACGAGACAATATATGGGTATGGTGCAAAAACGTGGAACGCAGAGAAACAAACGTATCCATAGCTCATCAAATGGTAATACACTATCACATCCCAATTAATGACTAATTTTATTTTTAAATCCTTACACAAATCACGGCATATAATAAAAATAGCAAGAAGAATAATTACGCTGCATTGGTTTGATTCTTTTAAGATACGGAGTTGCTACACAGTACTCCTGGCAGAATAGCCACTGTCCATATTTACAGAGCCGACCATATATAAACGATGTTTCTTTCACAATAAACGTCGTAGCTTTTTGATAACGTCTTACTAGTAGATACTGGTTTTAAAAGGACGAAGCCAATGAATTTGTTTCATCTGAACTACGAAACCTGTTTGTTTCCAAAGGAAACCTTTTGAAAGGATTTTTTTCAAAGGAAATTGTCTTACACAACAACTAGTTGTGATACATAACAAAGTGGAAAGTACGTCTCACAAATCTAGAACCATAAATCTGTTATTTCTCATAACTCTAGTACAGTAGCTCATAAGTCAAGCTTTATCAGAAAATTGCAGAGCCCTTTTGTATCTAAACTATTTTTAATGTATATAGTTCAAACAGGCTATTCAACATGTCCAGAATGGTATTCTCAGTAAGAGAGCTTCCGACACCTTTATTTAGGACTCGTGGTATTCGCGAAAAGGTGAGTCACTGGAGAGCAGAAGAGACCAGCCTTGGAATGGCTGTACAGACACCTCCTTGTTCTCGTC